CTAAACTGGTATGTGGTGTGTGCATTCATACAGTCCCCTACTAATTGGCCTATGGATTCCTAAATACACAACAATATTGAAATCAAGCCAATTAACAACCTACAATGGCCTCTAAGTGTCCAACTAAAAGAAAGAGACCTGGGGCTGGAGAGGGGCTCAGTGGTTAAGAGCACTGACTGCTCTTCCAGAGGACCTGGGTTCATTTCCCAGCACCCACATGGCAGCTCACAACTGTCTGTAACTCCAGTTCCAGGAGACCCAACACCAATGCACATGAAATAAAAATTTTGAAAAAAAAAAAAAAGAGAGAGACCTGTGTCTCTCACTTTAAATCAGAAGGCTGTAATGATTAAGTGAGCAAGATGTGTCAAAAGCCAAAACGGGCCAGGTATGTAGCTCAGCACTAGGACATTTGCCCAGCTTCTGTGAAAGCCCCAGTCTAACCCCCAGTGGTACTATATGAATGAATGAACGAACAGATGAGGACAGGGTAGGCTGAAAGTTAGATCTCTTACACCCGCTAGCCAAGTTATAAACGCACAGGGGAAGTGTCTGTGGGAAACCGGAAGTGCTGTCTGAGTGAGCACACTTGACAAGGGAGGAAGGCAGCTCGCCTCCTGAGAGCACTCGGAGCAGAGCACCGAGCCAGCATCTCATCCTGAGCCAGGTCCTCGCTTCAGGTCAGTGCAAACCGAGCCAGGTAAGGAAGCAGCAGCCAACTCTGAAGCTCACAAGTTGGTTCATGAGGATTAAGGAAAGAAGCTGGCTTTACAGTATGACATACAAGGAGAGGGGCTCAGGGCGTAAGAGCACCCGTTGCTTTTGCAGAGGACCTGGGTTCGGTTCCCAGCACACACTGTGGCTCACAACTGGTTGCAGCTCCATCTCCAGAGGCTAAGCCCTCTCCTGGTCTCCACAGACGCTGCATGCATGTGGTGTACAATCGTATGCAGGCAAAGCATCCATACATATAAAATTAAAATAAATATTGTCTAAAAGTCTCCTGTGTTCCTAGAAAGGTTTTTTTAATGCAAAGGGAAACACAAAGCCTGATGTAAAAGCTGAAGCAAGTTGTCTAGAAGATGAAGCTAAGATTCTTGATGAGGGCGGCTATATTAAACTAATTATCAGGCTGGGATGTAGCTCAGTTACCAGAGAGTATGTATGAATGTCAGAGGCCGGGTTCAATTCACAGAGCTGAATAGACCAGGCGTGGTAGTGCATACTCATATTCCTCGTACTCGGGAGGCTGAGACAGAAGTTCAGGGTCACTTTTGCTTACATAGAGAGGCAGTGTCTAAAACAGTCTATGTGAGACCCTGTCTTAAAACAAACAACAAAGCGCTTATCAGCGTAGAGGAAACAGACTTTTATTGGAAAAGGATGCTATCTAGGACTTCAGCATGTAGAAAGAAGTCAATCCCTAGTTCAAAGGACAGGCTGACTCTCCTCTTGGGAGTGAATGGGACTGGTGGCTAAGGAAGAAAGCAATGTTTATTTCCCATTCAAAACCTCCTAGGGTGCCTCATCATTTTCTTAAATCTCTGTGTTCTATAAACGGAGTAGCAAAGCTTGGGTATCTGTACATCTGGTTACAACATGCTGTACTCCATATTTTAAGCACTTTTCAGAACTACTGATCAGAAGAAAAAAGGAGTCTTTCAATATAATATTGCTCATCGACAATTCCTGTGGTTACCCAAGTGCTCCAATGAAGACCTACAAGATTAATGTTGTTTTCATGTCTTTAAAAAAGACGTCTCATCTTCAGCCCATGGGTAATACAGTAATTTAACTTTCAAGTTGTACTTAGGACACAAAGCTCTTGTGGCATAGACTGATTTCACAGCACCTTTTCTTAAGGATCTGGGCAAAGTAAAATGAAACACGCTGGGATTTGCCATTCCAGAAACCGTCAATAGCACTCATGAGCTGGATGTGGTGGTCCATGCCTGCAGCCCTAACTAACACTCAGGAGGCTGAACCTGGAGTGTATCCTTGAGTTCAAATCCAACCCAGACTATAGTGCAAGATGAGAGAGGGTGGGGGAGCAGGGAGAGAGGGGGAGAAACAAAAGTTTCTGGAGCTGGGGTATGGTTACACATGGCTGCAATACTAATACTTGGCAGTGTTGAATACTTGAGGCAGAACACTGAGGTTGAGGCCAGCCTCTGTGACGCCTTTCTGGACTGCACAATAAGGAGTGAAGAAAGTAGAAAAGGAAAACAACCAAAGAGGACTCTGAAGGGGCAAATGCTGAGTGATGGAGATCAGAAGGAGCTTATGAAACAGGCCCCGGTCTTTCTAGAGTATGATCCTACCAATCCCATCACGCAACCATCCTATCTCTGGCTCTGAAGTGTGGGGATTACAAGTATGAACCACACAGTTTGCTCTCAGGAAGCTTTCCGAAGCTGGATTTATTAGGATCAGATGGAGTTTCTCAGTCTCATCACCACTGACATCTGGAGTCACACTCTTTTTTGTTGTGCACACTCCTGTGCACTGGAGGAAGTTTCCCTCCCCTTTGTCCACTAGATGCCAGGACCCTGCCTTCAAGTTGAAACAACCAAAAGACATCTTCCGGCCTGGCTGTCAGGGTTTGTTCAGAAATGCACCCTGGACATCACCACAAGCTTGAGCTCCTGTTCTGAATATTCAGTCCCCAACTTGCAGCACAGTTTTAAGGGTTTGACAGGGGTGGGCTTGATGATGGAACAGTTGACTAAGACCAGGCCTTTGAAGCCTATACCAAGCCCTGGTTCTGGCCTGTGTTCTCATTTCCTGTCAGCCGCCTCACAGACCCTTGGCCAGAGCCTCCCCTGTGCCTTCCCCACCATGGTGGACTGATATTGTGAGTCCAAAGAAACATCTCCTCCCTCAGCTGCTTCTGTCAGGTATTTGCCAAACGGCCACTAGAGTCAAAATCGCCCCTCCATTAGAACCACAGGAGACAGGGGGAATAAAAGAAGCCTTAAAGATAAATATAATTACTTGAAAATATCAATTTATTACTTCCTAAACCATTAATACCTACAGAAAAATTATGAATTCCTCTGCTTTATAAGAAAGCTATCCTAGCTATCTAGAGGACCAAGGCAGGAGGATTGATTGAGCACAATAGTTTAACAGTAGACTAAGAACCGTAGCAACCCTGTGATTTATGTGTATGAGTGGTATACCTGCATGTATGTCTGTGCACCATATGTGCCTAGTGCCCAAGGAGGCCTGAAAAAGGTGCCAGATGCCCTGGAACTGAAGTTACAGATGGTTCTGAGCCTCTGTGTAGAAGCATAGAAGCCAACCCAGGTTCTCTGGGAGAGTGCTCAGTACTTTTAACCACTGAGCCATCTCTCCAACCCCGAGGACCCTGTGTATTAAAAGAGAGAGAGAGAGAGAGAGAGAGAGAGAGAGAGAGAGAGAGAGAGAGAGAGAGAGAGAGAGAGAATTTAGGGGCTGGAGAGATGGCTTAGTGGTTAAGGGTTGGGAGGACCTGCTGGTCAGAGGTTGAAGTCTACCATAGCTTGGCAGCTCTCTGTGAGCTTGGCAACATGGAAGTTTCCCCACATCCCCCACCCCGTCCCACCCCTACCCCCACCTTGGCGGAGGGCTTCCTGCTCTCTACCTGACTTTACTTGGAGGCTGTCTCTAGGGTCAGATCCATGACTTACCTGTGTGACCCTTGACATAGTTCCCTGTAGAAGCTTTCCCCTGCTACCCACATGGTAATCAGACATCATGTTAGGAGCTTTACTGTAGGACCCTGCTGCTACATAGGAGTCTTAGGATAGTGCTGTTTAATGCAATTTAGGTGATGCCCAGCCATTGTCCCCTCACTTGGGAATAAAGCTGAGCAATAACACTGAAGTAGTCTCCTAGAAGGCTATTTCCATTGTACCCATTGCCCTCATGGCCCAGTAGCCAATGGACCTACAGTTAAAAGTACTGGCTGCTCTTCCAGAGGACCTGGATTCAATTCCCAGCGCCCACATGGTAGCTAACAACTATCTGTAACTCCAGTTCCAGGAGTTCTGACATCATCTTCTGGCCCCCAAAGGCACTGCAGACATGTGGAGCCTAGACATATATGTAGGCAAAACACCCATATACCAATAATAAAATTTTTTTCAAATGTAAATTATTTGTACTGGGAGTAGTGGATTCAATCCTATAATCCCAGCATTTGAGATGATGAAGCAGGAGAATTGCTTTAGATTTGAGGCCAACCTAGATTACAAAGTGAGTTCAAGACCAGCCTGCACTAAAATGTGACAAGGGACTTGTTTACAAAAAAAATATTATTTGGAACTGGGGATAGGCTCAGTAGTAGAGTTCAAGTTTACCATGCTTTGGACCTGGGTTCAACCATAAGCACTAAAATATAAATAATAAAAATACCCTCCTCAAAACAACATCAACAAAAAATCAGAAACCACATTTATGTGTTCTATGAGGATTAATGACATTTCCTTCTCTACCTCTTTTTTTTTCTTTTGGTTTTGGTTTTTTGTTTATTTGTTTGTTTAGACCAGGCTAGAACTTGGGGCAACCCTCCTGACTCCCAAGTACTACACCACCATTCTTTGCTTTATTGGCCTTTCTCCACATTAACAAAGTACATTTTAAAAGTATTGAAAAAGGTCAGCTATTAAGCCAGGTGTGGTGGCGCATGCCTTTAATTCCAGAACTCAGGAGGCAGAGGCAGGTGAATTTTGAGGACAGCCTGGTCTACATAGTGAGCTCCAGGACAGCCAGGGCTACAGAGAGAGACCCTGTCTCAAAAAAAAAAAAAGACTTATTCTACTTGTTTTTTTCCTTTTGATTATAGCAAGGGCATTTTAAAAAAGGATTTTATTTATTTTTATTTTATGCATGTTGTTGGTTACACTGCAGCGCTTGTGGCATGGCCGCCACCTGCAGTGGCCATGTCGGCAGAGGAGAGTGCTGGATGACAAGTGCTAGATAAGAGTACCGGTGCCGGGAAGAGTCACGAGCCATGGTTACCTTTCTAGTGCTTTATTGGGAGAGAGAAAGAGAAAGAGAGGGAGAGAGAGGGGGACCACGCGGAGTGGGGGGTACAGAAGGAGAGACTGTGGAAAAGAGAACACACAGAGGGCACACCTGCTTTTTAGGCTGGGATGCCGTCGCAGGCTGGTGACATAATTAAGGACATAATCCTTACATCCCAGACTTTTGCTTAATATATATATATATAAAGCAGGTAGATGGGAATAGGGGTGTTGTTCCTCTCAAAAACTGCTTCCAGCTGACTTCTGGACGTCGGTTGGCTCTTGGGGGAATGGAGAAGGGGAGTCTTCCGAGGTAGACAGGCGTTGTGGGATGCTGTCATCCATTTGCTCTGGAGACATGTATCCCTCTTGGCTGTGGCTGGGAACTTTCTGTTTGACACGATGCTGGTGACACAGAAAAAACTTAGAGAGAGAAAAGAGTCATTATTATTTTATGTTGACATTTATCTGAGGTAGATCCAGCCTGTCCCTATGGATTTTGAAACATGTTAAGCTTTATTAGAGACAGATTATTTTAAAGCACCTGTTTCCTTTACTAGTTCGGCATCCAGGAGACAGGTGATCAATTGTTAAAAGTATCTCACAGTAATAGATGTTTATATTAAAGTCTTTTTTTGTAGCGCCCAGATGCTTTTGGGTCTGGGGGGTGCAAATACCTTTTAGCTGTTACAGTTTCTTAGTTGATGGTCTCTGGACTCCGGTTCTGTGGTGGTCCTGTATCATTGGCTGAATAGTGAGTTAGAAGAGAGAACTGGGAAGAGAAAAGCTTGTGGTGCATGAGAACTTATTTTTTTGGAATTAGGGATAAAGATCAGGGCCCTGTCTGTATGCACGTGAGAAACACAGGCAGTAACTCTAAAAGTGCAATTAAATCTGGTGAGGTGGAGCCGGGCGGTGGTGGCGCACGCCTTTAATCCTAGCACTCGGGAGGCAGAGCCAGGCGGATCTCTGTGAGTTCGAGGCCAGCCTGGTCTCCAAAGCGAGTTCCAGGAAAGGCGCAAAGCTACACAGAGAAACCCTGTCTCGAAAAACCAAAAAAAAAAAAAAAAAAAAAAAAAAATCCGGTGAGGTGGGTAAAGCTGTCCTCTGTACCCGACAATAGAGAAAGGAGAGGTGACATCCCATAACAACCAGGACCATGTCAGTGGCTCCAGTGTCCAGAAGGAAAGAAACAGATTGCTTCCCTGCTGCGCTCTGGGTTCCCTGCCATGTCTGTAGCCAAGCCTAGGTCTGCTGGAGGTCTTAGCTTGATGTACCCATGTGTCTTGGCGCCTGGGGGCAGTCAGCTGACTGGTTGTCTTTCTAGGCAGCACTTTTAACAAGGCTGTTGATGGCCTGGCAGGGCATTCGCTAGCCAGTGGCCTTTTCCTCACTTCAAACAGGGACCCAACAGCTTTTGGGAGTCAGCGAGTACCAGCACTTGGCAATTTTGTTTTCGGGCTTTTATCTCTTCCCTGGCACACCTTAAATGCCACAGATGACTCTCTTGCCTGTGGGGTCAGGAGCCTTGCTCTCCAGATGCTTAAGTTTTAGTCGGGGAGGTCTGGAGAACAAGAGATGGATTTTATTCCATGTCCTGAATTTTTTTTTTTCCCTGATGATTGGTGGCTTAAGGACAGCTTTTGGAAGATCTGCCAGTAGGCAGACTATAAACCAATCCTTTTGGAAGACTTGTCTGAGGCTATAAGTTGATTTTTGGCTTAAGAGCCATCCTGACTACTGTAAACTTAATTGTATGGATCTTAGCTGCTTCCAGACCTGTCTGTGTCTCTCAAGGCTGTTTGAGAAGGAGTGGGTGGAGTTAAGGTGAGTTAGGGCGAGAGTTGTAGAAACCACCCAAGCCCGCCCATTTGAGCCCGCCCACTGCCAGCGGAAGTCAGACAGAAAAGGTTGCACTTGGCAGAGGCAGAAATGGGGAGGGAGAAGGGTTGAGAGCTTTAGCAAAAAGTTTGGGGATAAAGTAACTCTTTTATTTGCCCGTTCGCTGGCAGAAGCTCCTGAGACGCTGTTATGTGGCCAGGTTTACCGGTACCCGTCCCTATCTGCCAATGTAGGTGGTAAATGTATCTGCCCCTTTGTCCCATAGCTGTAGCCGAGAGAACAACAAAAAATTAAAATAACAAACTGGGATCAGACTCCAATCTCGGGCGTCCCCAAGAGTGGAGAGAGATCTATGAATCAGCTCAAGTTCCCGTCCTCTTTGTCCAAGGATGGGAAGGGCTGCGGCTGCACTGCAGTTGGTCCACCGTTGGACCCTAGACTGCATTGACCCCCTCGTCAGGAGCAAAAATGTGCCTGCCGTGGCCAGCACAGCCCAAGGACAACCCCCGGGGTGTCCATCGCAAAGAATATAGCTCAGACTACAGCCATGAGAACGGCAGACTCACTGTGGTGAAGAATCATGTCGGTAGCAGTAGTGGTAGCTGTATAGGGGTCCAGTGGAGGCGAAGGATGCGCGCATGCTCATAGTCTCACTGGATGGGGGAGGAGGTGTCAAGTGGCAGCAGTAATAGCAGGTCCTTGGTGGTCTATCTGAGTCTGAACGGCACCAAATGTTGGTTACGCTGTGGCACTCGGCATGTGGCGGCCATGCCGGCAGAGAGTGCTGATTGGAAGAATCACAAGCCATGGTTACCTTTCTAGAGCTTTATTGGCGGGGAGGAGAAACAGAGAGACCACATGGAGGGAAGAGAACGGAAGGAGGGAGTGAGGCAAAAAGAATGCACAGAGGGCACACCGCTTTTTAGGCTGGGATGCTGTCGCAGGCTGGTGACGTAATTAAGGACATAATCCTTACACATGTGAGCCACATACACACTTAGTGACATGGGTGGCTCACAACCATCTGTAACTCCAGTTCCTGGGGGATCCAACACCCTCTTCTGGCCTCACTGGGTACTATATACATATGGTGTACACAAAGTCAGGCAAAACACTTATATACATAAAATAAAAATGAATACATCTTTGAAAAAAATCATTACAATCTATCCATTTCTATCCTTCGCTGTCCGACTACCTCCTGAGCAGCCATCTCTGAGCAAAAGTGATTAAAAATGGGTCTTTATGATGCTAAAAACTTTCAAAACTGCCAACTGTTTGTCATTGGGAAGAAAGAATGTTTTCGTCCTTGGACTTTCCGTGTTGACGTAGCTCTCTCTGACAGTAGTTGCTGATGCACAAGAATGCAGAGTCTCTGAGTGAACCTAAGAGTGAGATTCACTTGTTCTTTTTACCAGTATTGTATTTTCCTCCTTCCCCTTTCCCCTCCCTCTCTTTTTATTCCTCCCTTCTTCTTTCTTTCCTTTTTGATTTTTTGAAATTTTTTTCTTTTGCTTGTTTGATTTATTTGTTTGTTTGTTTGGTTGGTTTTGTTTTTTTGAGATAGGGTTTCTCTGTGTAGCCCTGGCTGGCCTCGAACTCATAGAGATCGCCCTACTTCTGCCTCCCGAGTGCTGGGATCAAAGGCCCATTTTCTTATTTATCCTAAACCAAAGAACCATGCCTCTCCTCAGAAACAGGTAGGGCTTCAAAACCCTGTCTAATGTGATACAGGGTCAGGGGTGGACTCTTGCTCTGTTCTAAGAAGTGTATGGGCGCTGTTCAAGCCTTGTTTTCCTATGTAAAATGTGCAGCTGTGCAAGGATTAAGTGGAGCAGGCAAGAGTCCAGTTTCATTAAAGATTGGTTTTGAACTGGGTGTGCTGGTGCACACTTTCAATCCCAGCACTTGGAAAGCAGAAGCTGGTGGATCTCCATAACTTTGAGGCCATCCTAGTTGACATAGCGAGTTCCAGCTGGCCAAGGACACATAGTGAGGCTCTATCCCAAAAAAACAACAGCAACAAAACAAAAAATTGATTTAGGATGGGCATGGCTTAATCCAGCACTCAGAAGGCAAAGGCAGGCAGATCTCTGTGAGCTCAAGGCCAGTCTGGTGTACAAAGCGAGTTCCTGGTTAGCCAGGGCTACATAGTGAAACCTTGTCTCCAAAAATTTGGGTTGTTTAGTTTTTAGAAGTGTTTATCAACAAAACAAATAAATCTTGCTATACTGCTTTAAAAGCTGAAGACAGCCTGGGGATGTTGCTCTGAGGAAGATGCCTGTCGGGCACAGCATGTGCGAGGTCCTGAGTTCAATTCCTATCACTGAAGAAAAAAAAGTAATCTGTATCTGTAATTCTAGCACCACTGAGAGAGGCTAGGGCAGGAGGATCTTGAATTCAAGGCCAGCCTATACTGTGAAGGCCTAGACTTGACTTGACTGGCTCCATCTTAGGGAAGGGCCACTATCTTAGACCACCTGCTGTACTCAGTTCCAGGAAGAATCTCAGGAATGTGCCATGACAACTCGATCAGATACAGGGCAGTAAAGTTTAACAAGATCCAGATGCTCCTGCAGACATTCTGCCTGCGATTTATGGCCCTTGAAGATATCCAGATAATGCTGTCAGCAAGTTGTGGTCCCTCCACCAAAAGTCTAACCTAATAGTTTCAAATGTAGTTTTGCGCCAAAAGTCTAGACCAATAGTTTAAAAAAAAAATCACCTTGCCCCATATCCCTTCTACCCAATCCCCAAAACCGCCAAGGCATGTAATTCCCGTTTTGTGGTTTTTTTTCCTTTAAAACCCCCCAACCCTTGAGCTCTGGGCCACCCCATATCCCTCCATCTGCTGTGCTGGAGCAGATGGTTGGCGGCCCAGGTTTGAACCTGACAATAAAAGGACCCCTATGTGCTTGCATTGGAAACCGACTCCTTGGTAGTTTCTGGGGGTTTTGAGAAACGAGTACAACAGTACTACATAAGTAAGACCCTGACTCAAGAAAATAAAAACAGGTTTTTCCTGCTCTCTGTACAGCATCACAGCAAACCCCGATTACCATGAGGTTCTGTTTTGTCTGCCCACCTTTCCAAGTCCTGACTCAGAAAAGTGTACCTTCCCTCCCCTCCCGACCTCTGTTTTGTTGAGACAAGGTCTCACTTTGTACCTTTGGCTGGATGTTCTAAAACTCACTATGTAGCCTAGCCTGGCTTGAACTCACAGAGATCCACCTGCCTCTGCTGCCTCTGCCCCCTCTGTCTGCCAAGTGCTGGGACTGAAGGCTGGTGCCACTGTGCTCAATATTTTTCTTAGGTATGCTTTCCCTGATACTCTGGATCTCTCTTTCTCTAAAACTCTCCTCAGTGCCATGTGTATTTGTCCACCAGGTGGCTGGCCCACACCAGATTAACTCAAACTCTAAGGTATTTCCTCTTTCTCTTCTCTGTCTTCCTCCTCTGGGCTGCTTGCCTGACCTGGAGTTTTTCTTCTTCCTTCCTTCCTTCCTTCCTTCCTTCCTTCCTTCCTTCCTTCCTTCCTTCCTTCCTTCTCTCTCTCTCTCTCTCTCTCTCTCTTTCTTTTTCTATTTTTGGTTTTTCAAGACAGGGTTTTTCTGTGTAGTAGCATTGGGTGTCCTGGAACTCACTCTGTAGACCTGGCTGGCCTTGAACTCATAGAGTCAGCTTGTCTCTGCCACCCAGATTTTCATTTAAACTCTAATGAAAGTGTATTCAAGCTTTAAAAGAAAAAAAAAGGAGTATATGTTACTGGAAGGAAGGACTGGTTATTTGGATCACTACACCAGAAAGTACTGAACAACACAATTCAAAAGGACCGTGACTAGAGCAGCTTCGGCAGCTGCTCCTTTCGCTCACAAGTGTCCTGCCATTAGCATGACTCACTCTGAAGCCTCGTTAGCCGTGTAACACTCAGCCCAAACTCAGAA